TCTAAGACACCTCTTTAGGACACCTCTAGTCATGTTCCTCTGGGCACCCAGGTGCTTTCTGCAATCTCTCCTATTGGCCAAACTTTTGGTAAAAACCATTCCCCGACTCTACATGCCTGCAGTTCCCAGGCCAGTTCTAGTGGATCTCTTAAGCTTTCTTTTGCAGGTGAAAGGGCACGTTTCTTTAGTCTGTCCTCAAGCCTCATCCTGCTCCCTTCACTCCTATTTCCCCCATGAAATCTTCCTTGGCTGTCTATATCCCACTGTCTTTAGCACCTCAGGGCCCACAGGGCTCTGAAGGATTCCTGTCCAGCCTGGACTAGGAGGAGATTCTCCTTACATGAGGTGTTTAAGAGTACTCAGGGTCCTTGCCCCTTCTGTCCCTCAGTGGACATCCACCCCCAGGACGAGGACGAAGTGACTGTAGAATGCCTGAGCCAATTGGAAATTTGTAAGTATCTGGCCTTGTGTTTCTTGCTCTGGGCTCTACCCACCCCCAAGCCCTTGGCCAGGAGCAGGGCTGGGAGTTGGGGGAGTCTCCCAAAGCTGTAGGTGGCCAAGGAACACTCTGACTTGCCTGTAAGTTTCTGGGGACAAGGCAGCAACTTGACTGGTAAGTAGTTCAAGGCAATATTTTTATATTAAGACAAAGGTATATCTGTTGTGTAATAGAAAGTAGAAGCATGAATTTGGAAGCCAAAGCAGGAGACTTTAAAAGAGCTTTACACAATAGGAAGGTGACTTCAGACTGTTTTTTTAGGATTCTACCTCTAACCCACCAACTGGCCAGCCCCTCTGCTGAAGGGTATTTGGGTGGAGAACTTAGAGAAATGCTGTTATACCCAATTTCCTTTATTATAATACCAGAGGGAGGAAACTGAGGACCAGAGTAAGTGATAGGCTGAGGACACAGCTCAGACAGGCCCTGATTTGAAACCTCCATCTGTTCTCTTCTCTGTACCAAGAAATACCACACAGAAGGTGCCCACTATGGCGAGGAAGGGAATCGGAAACAGAACGGGGGTTCTGGGATAACCCTTGCCATTTAGAGATTAGTTTTTACTAAGAATCTAAACCAGGTGTCCTCAAACTACGGCCGCTCGGGCCACATGCGGCCCGCCTAGGACATTTATCTGGCAAGCTGGGTGTTTTTGCTGCCGTTGCCTGTCCTGCTTAGCAGCCGACTTGTCCCAGGCCCGCAGTCTGGCCCTCCAATGGTCTGAGGGACAGTGAACTGGCCCTGTTTAAAAAGTTTGAGGACCCCTGGTCTAAACTGTGGCTTCTGAGCAGGGTTGACCCCATTCAATAAGAGAAGTGTATTTCCTTACCTCATTTAGGATCTACTGTTCTCTGATTGGGAAGGGGCTCCAGTGCTGAAAGGAAGAGAAGCCAACTCCAGTGACAGGGCATGAGAGGAGGAAGGCCAAGACCACAGCCAGGATGGGGAGCTGAGAGGAGCAGCTGTGCTGAAAGTCAGCAACCCTTTGACACCAGCTGCTCACACACCACACACAGGCACACCCCTTGTACTCAGGTCCACAGATGCCCCAGAGCTCACAGTCAAAGTGCCTCACAAGGCTGACAGGCCAGAGACTATGGAAGACATGAGTTCTGTCTACCCCTTCCCGTTCCCCCATGCAAGACCCACTGATAACTGAAATGAGAATTGGAAGGGGGCAATCAACCTTAACCAGGGAATCAAGCAAGCAGAGCCTGATTCTACTCAAGACACTGTCCTTCAAATTATTAAACAAGGATCAAAGACTTGTATTTTTTGTAAAGGTGTCCTTTGACATTATTTTCAGTTCATGACACCCAATTGTTAAAACCTTCAGACTGGCTTGGCTTAATGCTGTCCTGGGAACTTCCAGAAGTCACATCTCACAGAAGTATAACTCTCAATATAATTTAATCAAATCAATTAGGACTGTTTAATAAATAGGCCAGAAAACTAACTGAGAGTTTTTCTTGGCGGGATGCGGCGTGCAACCAAAGTTATGGAAGATTGTCCCTTGAATCACTAAGGCAATTTTTTTTTGACTGTCATTTTACATAGAGCAATCACATAAAAAAGTTATAAATAGAAAAAAATGCCAAAGTTCTCCCACAGACAGACAGGGAAAATTGAAATGTAAAAAAAAGAAAAAGAAAAAAGAAACAAAACAAAAACACAACCACTCCTCCCCCCACAACCCATTTGCTTCAAGTTCTTGATCATACAGTACTCAACATCTTTGGATATTTTACAATGTATTATACAACTCCAAATTGCAGCCAAGAAAAACAAAAAGAACTAACCAGTCATCTGAAAAATTGAGTTTATAAGAAGTCATTACCTTTACAAAATAAAGACAAAAGCCCCAACACCACTGGATTCAAATTTGCTCATTTTTCCTTTTAAAGTTTGGTTCAGCTCCAATGCCTGGGCTGAGGGGGGACATGGGCATGTTGGCCAGTGGATCCCAGAGGCAAGTGTCTGAAATGGAGACGGGAATCTGTGAGGTGGCTGCCCATGAAGAGGACTTCCAAGGACTGAGAGTGTCTAAAGCTGAAATGACTTCTGGTGGTTCGAGGAGGGTCTCTTTGGGGGAACTGTGAGAGGGACAGAGTCTGTGCTCTTCTCTGGCCTTTTTGTTTTGCTTTTTGTGTGTGTTTGTTGAGGAAAAAGCCAAGGCGACAGGAAGAGCTAAAGTCTCTTGTGTCCACAGCATGGGGATTGGGGACTCCAGCCCTGGGCCCTCCCTGGAGATGGACTCTCCTCTTCCCTGGGCTATTGGGAAACCAAACCAAGCTTAGCACTGGAGGGAAGAGGAGGAAGGGGAGGGGAGGGAAGGGCAGAAGTCAGGAAGGCACTGAGCCAGCAGAGCTGTCTTCCTTTCATGACCTGCTACAAACCCAAGAACCAGGAGAACACTGTCAGTCCTATGGAGCCCTTCAAGTCTCCCCCCACGGAGCCCTTTTGTCAAAATCGGGGAGCCACATACTCTTGCTTCACCTCCGAGTGGGGAGGAAGGGTTGGAGGGGTTTCAAATGCAGCAGAGGGGGCAATTGCCAGCAATGCCAAGGCCTGGAAGAATCCACAGCTCAAAAAGCAAACATAATTGCTGGGCAGCCAGGCAGTTTGTCTGTTTTCAGGAATCAGGTGAAGGGAGGCAGGTACCTGGTGGCCCCTATCCCTTTGATGTTGGCCCAGGTGTCCCAAGAGACTCTGTACAGCATCAGAGGGGGCTTGTGGAAATGGGGCACATGTGTGTATTTCCCAGGGAACATGAGCCCGGAAAGCAGGGCAGCACTTGGTGTTCCAGAACAGCTTGCGAGCCGCAGTCAGGCATGAAGCTCCCCCACTTCCTGGGACTCCTGTCTACTTCTGCCACATTTCTCACCTGTGCTAATACAGAGGTGGATGTGGTAAGCTCTGTCCAGTAAGAGAAACTGCTTCACCAGGGACTTGGGGAGTGCAAAGCTCTCAACCTCTCCAGGATTCTTTGGCCGGACAGGTGTGTATGTGTGTGTCTGGGGAGGGGAAGTAAATTACCAGCCCACCTTCTTAGCAGGATGACACCGAGGTACAGAGTGCTGACCTGTCCGAGGTTGCAGGATAGGTAAGGGAAAAAATGGGCCTGTACTCCAGGAACCGGGCTCTTGTCCCCAGGAGGCCTCCTATTTCTAAGTGGCAGCTGGGCGTTTTTCTAAAGGATCCCAGGACTGTTGGAGACTGGGAAGAGACCCTTTAGAGAGTGTTGGCAGGGACCGCCCTCCTTCTAGCTCCAATCAGTTGGCCTTCTTATAGCTCTCATAGTTCCAAAGTGCTCCAGGGTACCCAGCCAGTGGCCCATGCCAGTTTCTATGTGAGTGGAAAAGAGACAGGGAGGGAGAGGGAGGCCAGGGCTCCAGGCCCTTCTGAGGAGATGCTCATCCCACACATCAGCAAAAAGGTGGCAGCTGCCTTAGAAGGCCCAGAAAATACCATTGTTGTTAATAGATATTTTTGCATTTTCCCTTTGTGTTTTTAAAATAAAAAGTTCAGACCCACTGGGCGGGGCAGAGTAGGGCTGGTGGGAGAAGGGACAGTGGGGCGGGGGGCTGGAATTGGCAAGGACCAGCTTAGTTGTTGGCTTCAGACATGGAGGCCACGTGGTTGAGACCAGCGAGCCCGGGTAGCCCGGCCAGGCCCGCGGCCCACGGGTCGGGCAGTGGAAAGTAGGGCCGCGCTGCGGCCACGTTCTCGGCCAGCGCGAAGGCCAGTAGGCCCCCCGGGTTCCTCTCGGCCTCCAGCTGAGCGCGCCCGAACAGCTTCATCTGCGTCTCCTCGAACTGTCGCTCGAGCTCCTGCAAGCTCAGGGCGCCCTTGGGTGCCGCCAGGAAGTGCTTGGTGGGGCTCGGGCCGGGGAGGCACACGGCAGCGCTGCCCAGGTGGCCGCCCACCTCGCCCAGCGCGGGAGGCATCACGAAAGCCGCCTTGTCGGGGGCCGGGCCGCCCGGCCCGAAGAGCAGACTGGCGGCCCTCCAGGCGGTGGGTTTGCGGCCGCGCCGGGGCCGTGCCATGCGGCAGCTCTGGCGTTTGATGTGGCGGTGCAGGTGGTCGGAGCGCGTGAAGCTCTTATAGCAGAACTCGCACTGGTAGGGCCGCACGCCCGTGTGGATGCGCATGTGGTTCTTGAGGTCGTAGTTGTGCACGAACTTGGCGTTGCAATGAATGCACAGGTAGGGCCGCTCCCCCGTGTGCTTCCGCATGTGGATCTTCAGCTTGTCTTGCCTGCAATGCAGGGCCCCAGAGTCAGTCCTCCTGCAGATCACCATCAGCCACTCCTACCCCTCTGCTCTTTCCTCCAGAACCTGCTGGGGCTGCCTAGTGCCATGGAGTAAAACCCCACAAACGGGACTCTAAACAGGTATGTCTACTTACCTGGATTAGAGGGATGGGGAAGGAGCAGTGTCCTGAAGAGGATACCCCCCTCCAAATCTCTTTTCACACACCGCTCAGAGCCCTGCTCTTTATCAGAGGCTTATCTCAGAGTGGAATATGTATTTGCTGGGAAAGTACTTCTCCAGAAGTCAGCATTCCGGCCGTAGTTCTCTGGTGGCACAACAACTTTTCCTGATTCTAGATTAAATTTTAATCTCAGCCCACTCTCTCCAGGCTACAGTCTCCCTCTGGCTTCCTCCTTGTGCTTTTGCCCTAAGCCCTTGATCCCATCCCAGCCCCTGAGCTGTTGAGATCTGTCTGTCCTCCACACTAATCTGGGAGGCTACAGAAACTTGGGCACACCTTGTTCAAGTCTCCTGCATGGTGGTTTCTTATCCTAAGCCCTGGGCTCTCTTCTTTGTCTACAGACAATTTCAGGGTTCACAAAAGAACCAGGTGCAACAAGAATGCAGCCTAATCTAGGGGAATACTTTTCAGGGTTTAAGTGGTATTATTCAGAGGTACAGTATGGTGTAGGTGGGGCTCCTATCAGGGGTCTGGGGGCCCTTGCTCCAGCTGCAGACCCGCCACTAAATTGCTGAGTGGCCTTAGGCAACATACTGAACCTCTCTGTGCAGAGCTGAACTTAGGGTCAGACATCAGTTCCCATTGACTAGGGCTAAAAGAATGTAGGTTTATGTGAGCTAGAGTTTACATACCTCCTGGTGGTCTTGAAAGGAAAACTGACATCAGGGGTTGTTTTAGTAAAGACTGAGCACTGGGTAAACAAGTTTAAGAAGCCTTTCAGCCAGGCTGAGGCACAGACAACCAGGTTGCAAGGTCATTCTGCAGTCTTCCCCAGTAGGGCGAGCAGGCCAGGAAGCTCTGTGTCCAGCCTCACCTCCTCCCTGCATGTGTGGCTTAGATGGAGCGTCTGTATATAATTTCAGGCTTGGCTTTGAGGTCAGATGTGGAGCCCAGGTGTCCTCCCTAAAATGGCCCGATTTAAACTATCATACCTGGACAGCAGGCACTGGTCCTGGCCTCTTGGTGGCCCCTGGCCACTAGAGGTCTCACTGGGTCTTATTTTCAAAACAGTTCCCAGGGGCAGGGCAGGAGTGAAAAGGACATTCCAATGAACACTGGCAGGCACCAGGGGAGGAGGGTCAGAGAGGACGGATCTGGTCTTTCTACCTGTGCCCATAGGAGGGCTGGAGGGCCCCTGGGAGGGACAGAGGAGGGGTGTGGGTGGACAGAGAGGAGGAAAGGGGGTGCAGTTGCCCAAGGCTGGCTGCTTCTCTTCATACCAGACCCTTCTTCCTGTCACATCTCCCTGCTCCTGCCTCTTCTCTGCCCTACCAGCCACCCCCAGGCACATAGTACCCTCCTGTGATATCCACCCCCCACCAGCGCTACCCTGGTATCTGAAACCCAAATTTCACGCAGAGGATTTGATTTTTGAGCAGGATTGGATTTTTAGCATCTAGGCTAGTGGGTCCCAAACTTGAGCATGCATCAGAGCCATGGTTAGGACTTCAGCACTGGGCCGTGTTCCCACAGGTTCTGATGTACTAGTTCTGGGGTGGACAAAGAATTTGCATTTCTAACAAGTTGCCAGATGCTGCTGCTTGTCCATGGTCCATGTGCTGAGAACCAATGGCCTGGGCACATCCTTTACTTTGCAGGTGGGCAGACTGAGGCAAAGCCAGGGGAACCTCTCAAGATCTCCCAGAAGGAATTGTAGAGCTGGGACCCTAAGAGACAAGGCCTCCTTCTCCCCATGCACTTTGGCTTGTGTGAAAACATTAAGGATGGGGTGCACAGTGCCATCTGTAACACATAGTGATTCGCCCGGCTCTGAGGACAACGCAGATGCTAAGTGGTCAGTAAGCCTCCCTGACCAGGGCCTGGCAAAGAGCACAGCTCAGAATCAGCTGACCAGGGCTTTAAATACATCATCTCATTTGATCCTCACCACAACCTGATGAGGTAGATTTTTTTTTAAAGTCACTATTACACATAATTAGTAGCAATGACCCTAGGGCCACTCACAAACAATGCACAATGCAAATGATAAATCTTCAAATGCAAAGAGCCTACTATAAATATCCACAGCTTTCCCCAAATTTCTCATTAGGGCATCTAAAATAAGTCCCACTTTGGTGGCAACTGGCCAAGTGGGTGAGAAGTGCTGAGAAGGTACCTATAATGTCCTTTCACTGGGCACCTGCCATGGGCAATGGAATACATTATTTCAGTGGTCCTGGAGGGTCATTATTCAGAGGCAAGGAATGGTGTAGGGATAGGCCACCACTAGGAGTCTGAGAGCCCTTGCTCTAGCTGCAGACCCATCACTCATCTGTTGGTGACCATAGCAACTTATTTAACCTCTCCCATTGTCCAGGGCTGATGGAGAGGACATGGGCTTGTGTGAGTTAGAGTCAGCACACATGGTGTGACTTCCTCACTTGGAGGAAGAGAGGAGGCCCACAGGAATCAAGAGCTTCCCAAAGGTATCCAGCCAGTGAGGGGCAAAGGGACTTGGCTGGCTCCCTGTGTGTGGTTTGCTTGCAAGTTGTTCTGGGGGCGAGAAAGGGTGGATTTTCGTACAAAGTCTCCCAGCCTGTGGCCTATGGTCTGCTTCAAAAAGTGCAGACCAGATCAAGAGGTGTTACTTTCATTCTCATGAGGAAATAGAGGCAAAGGGAGGTACAGTAATACATTCCTAGCTTCCTTGATCTTGGGCAATACACAAATGTTGTCATAGAACTGGGAGCAGCTTTAGGGAACACCTACTCCAACTACCTCACATTAGGCAGGGGAAGCTGAGGCCTGGAGAGGGGAGGAGACTTGGGCAAGAGCAAGGTCACACACCTCCTCGGATGCAGGACCAGGCCCTGAAACTTGCCCCCCGACTCTTCCCAAAGTGCTTTAGTGCACTGAGGGCGGATGATCCCTCCACTCATTTGTTCAGTGACATTTCCCACGTGCCATACTTCCTCCAGCCCTCACTCAGCATGTGACGTGGAGGGCACCCATGCCTGCTTTGATGAGAACCTGCCAGATGCCCTTTCATATCCTATGCCACGCATGACATTGAAGGTAGGAATAGAGGGTGCTCATCACGTGCTTGTTGACAGGCCTGTGGGACAATTTCTGAATTCTCCAACTCTAAATCCAACACAGTCCTCTCTGGGCCTTGTCTGCTGTCCTGTTCCATTTCTTTGTACTGGGGACCCAGCCAAGGTCACAGTCACCCAAGCCTAGACCTATATTCCTGTTCCTGGCTCAGAGAGCTCATGTTCAAGAAAGATGAGCTAGTCCTCCTGAGCTCATCCCTGACTCAGAGGAGAGGGCTACTGGCCTTGGCCTCCAGGACGGCTCCTAATCAGGAGATGCCTTCCCAGCAGTGTCCCCCCTGCACTTCCTGTAACCTGATGGTCCGAGACAAACTCTTCCTGCTACCATTGCTAATAACATTACATTATCTTAATAAGGTTCTCAGAGCTATCCTGAGTGGGAGGACTGAAAGAAAATAAAGGGAAAGCAAAAGCTGGGCTCCTAGCCCTGTCTGGAGAGCAGACAGCTGGCACTGGAAGAGGGTGGGGAGTTGTCGCCTTTGGGAGTCTGAGAGGGACTTGGCAGGGGCTGGTGAAAGCAGGCTTGTCAGAGAGCCACTTCTTAGGGTGCAGAGGTTGTCCAGCCCTTCCCAGGATGGCGTGTCTTCCAGCTGCTGTCTTTTGGGGCCAGTCTCTTCTCATCTTGCAGTTTGTTGCCCTCACTACTTGTCCCATTAGATATGGCAGGGCGTTTCTGGGAGCCAGGCTGAGGCAGAATGTAGGGGCTGGGAGGGAGACTGGGCAGCCGTGCTCTCTAGGAGCTCCCGGGTGAAAGGCCAGGGAGGCAGGAGTTAAGAGGAGGGAGATGCTGAGGCCTTTACAGGCCAGCCCCAGGCCCAGTTGGCAGTGATGGCAGCACGCAGTGGGATAATGACCCATTGGGGGAGGCACCTGTGATGTCTGTGTGTGCAGCAGTGTCCCTTTGTATGAGGACAAACACCTTCTGACCTTTCCTGGATCACATGCTCCCTGGTCCTCAAGGCCTATCCCAGGGGTCACCTCAGACAGCGCCCTGTAGTCCTTCCTTACCTTTGGCCTGGCTCCTGGGCCCCAGGGAAGAGGAGGAAAAGCACCCCAGATGGGGAGGGCCTGGGGTAGCAGTGGTCCAGACTGCCTCTGCCTATGTCCTGGAAGAGCTTCTATCCTCAAGTCAAATTTGAAAGACAGAAGCTGTCTCTCTGGGGCCAGCACAGGAAGAAAACAGTGCTCTTGAGCTAAGCTAAGGGAGTGCAGACGCAGAGGGAGGCCCGAGTGATTATGGGGTGATCTGAGCTAGGAGGGACCAGCAGGGGGATGGTTGAAGCCTTTGAGTCCCTGCTTGGGAGTATTTCATATCTGGGACAGATGAGTGGTGGTTCAACTGGTGGTACTGGCTAAAATCTAGAACTGAATCAAAGCAGAGGCTCCTGACACCAAAGAATGGACAATACCAATATGGGGAGGCCACTGTCCCTCTTGCCAGAGACCGTAACAAAAGCAGTAGGCAGGGCCTTAGGGCAGAGGAGCTCTGTTGGGAGGACTCCCACACCCCTCCACCTTGGCTGTAGCTGCTGAAATCATTAGGATTGGTGTCCCCCTGGGGTGTGGACATTCTGGGAGGCTAGAACACAGAGCTTGGCCCAAAGTTCCCCATTCAGGGGACCCTGACCTTTCCCAGCATCAAGGAAGGAGGAAAGGAGGGCTGGTCAGAAAGCAGAAGCTATGGAGAGGCTTGAACTCCAGGGGGGAAACAGTGTTCGAGAAGAGAGTTTGAGGGCAGCATGGCTAGGGTGCCTCTCCGCCTTGGTGGGGGCAGTGAAGACACTGCAGGGCCTAGTCTCAGAGAGTGGTGTGGCCTTGTAAGGGAGTCTGGGAGTCCTAGGTCAAGGAAATAGCCACTGCTGCTTTAAATGGCTGCCAAAGAGCCTTCAGGTAGGAAGAAGGGTATGGATCATGGTTGGGGGAATTCTGCCAAAAAGAAGGGCCCCATGGAAAGGCTGCTAGGGGCCTGAGCTGTAGGGAGAATTATAGGAAAAGCATAGAAAAGAGTCCTTGCAGGGAAGCTCTAGAGAGAGGGTGGGTAGCAAAGGACCAGTGGTTCTGAAGAATGTGTGGGGAGGGGAGTGGGAAGTGTCCAACAAGGACAACCACAGCCCACACTGAGCAATAAAGTCCCTGGAGGGAGGCAGGCCTGAGCAATCTCCTCCACCCCTTCTGGGGACCCAAGAGCTTGTCTGATCTTTTTCAGAAGGGTCAGAGCCCAGTGGGAACCAAGCAAGGGGAGGTGCTGATGGGGCTGGAATGCAGCTGCCCTGGCTGGACACAGGCCTGGGGCCAGATGGCTGTCATCCTGCCAGCAGGAGTAACCCAGGGGAGGGAAGGGCAGATGGCTGATGGCCTCAGCCGCCCCACTGCTGATCTGGGCAGGAAAGGGAGACTGCAGACACCGAGGCCACCCCAAGTGACCACCAGGAATGTGCTGGGAGGAAAGACTCTGGAATGTGACCCTTCTATACAACACAGCCTTGCTTCCCACACCAGGAGGCCTACTCCTGGACAGTGTTACAGTGTCCAAAAGACAGAAATCTGTCTGCAGTGACTGAACAAGTTTAAAGCTTTCCTTAGGAAGGCAGGGCCCACAGACTGGCCAGACCCAGTGAGGACCTCACAGAAGGTTGTGCGTGGGGAGTCCCCTGGGCAGGGAGTAGGAAGGAAGGGAGACAGGGATGTGGGGTGCTGGGTGAGCTCACTGTGTGGCACAGGGACCCTGAGACAGGCATCCCACTGCAGTCAGCAGCCCATTGTTCCCCTAGAGGGAGAGGTATTCCCAATGTCAGCCATTTTCCAGGGGACAGGTGTGGGAAGTCTAGGAGGTGGAACCTGGATTGGCAGGAGAGGGTGCCCAAGGCTGATTCTGGGGCTTTCCTGCATCTGGCCTATGAAGAGCTTTGAAGCCATCTCCAGGGTGTTGGAGCCACGGGCTAGAGCCAGGCCCACTGAAGATGAGTAAATGGTATGTGGATTTGGCTCTCCTATGGTGTCCTGGTTTATCTCCCCTCTGCCATCCCTGTGCCTTTGTCAACCTCTGCACAGGTGTTCCCGCCAGCACTGGGGGCCAGGTGGCAGGCTGGTATAAAGGGACGTCCAAGGGAGTAAACCTTAGGGACTTTGGGTCCAGCTGCTCTTTGAGACAACAGAAACAGTGCCCCAAGGTCAGCACTGTGGGAGGCCTGGGTGGTCATCTCACTCCCAGGGGGAAGGGGGCATAGGCCTGTCCCTCTGCCTGGCAAAGTCTCTCCACTGACCCTTTCTGTTTGGGGTTTCTCTCCCAGAAGCAGCACCCTGGAAGCCATCAGTGTTGTCTTTCAAAGCCATCACCAAAGGAGTCTGCAGAGCTATTTGAGCAATGTCACTGTCATGAACATATTTCTGAAACTCTTCCCTGGCAACTTTGAATAGAGTTTTGCAAGCCACCCAAGAGAGCAGGTCTCATTACTTTATAGGACTCAGTACGACTTGACTTGTTTTGTTCTCCTGGGAAAGCATAGTCCCTGATTTGATATCTAACCTGATTCAAAAAATTTCACTCTATTCTCAGTCCAAAGCTTTGGCCCACTGAGGAAAATCAAAAGAATGAGCCTCCAGCAATTTCCAGTGATAAATCTCCACGAAGATGTGGGGTGCCAGCTATGCCATTAGAGTAAGTGTGGGTCTCTAAGGGAAATTCTTTCAGGGGGGCAGGGGCAGTGTGGAGGAGGGATCTTGTCTCACAGGACATGGCTGAGAAGATTAGCCTCACACCAGGGACTACAAGTGGTACCAATAGGCCATATTTTCCAAAGATGAGGTTTATACAAAACCTGGCCCTGGACAGGTCTTCCCCCACATCATCCCACATCATCCCACCAGTCATGTGGCAGTGCAGAGAAGGTTCATCATACACAGCTATGCAAAAATCACGGTGCAGAGAAGACATATCATGCACCGTTGCTGATGGAGTGGAGTCTATGGAACTTGAGTGTTTATAATGTATTGATGTCAAGTTTCAAATTTTAAAACAGCATAAAGTTATTCCTTTTCCTAACAAGGACAGGCAGAGGGGAGAACATCAAAAGAGGCCCATCCCTTGGGCTTGACCCAAAAATGATTGACAGAGTCTACAGGAATCTCTGTAGTCTCCTGGCCGTTGGCTTTGCTATCACATGTGGACTGAGATTCTACCCACAGCCTTGCCATTTCCACTGCGCTTGCCTGTGGCCAGCCAGCCAGCGGCCAGCCAGCCAGCCAGTGGGAAGGGAACTGTAAAGGATGGCAATAGCGACTCCCCATCTTCCAGGGCATGGCCGGGGTGAGAGGACTCGTCATCACTTAGGACAGGCCCTGGCATGCGGAACATGCTTAAGCAAGAGTAATCTCAGCTCCTCTAAATAAAATGAAGGGGTGCCCTCCACCAGGGAGTGTCAGACTGGACTCCCTGGATTCAGGGTGAGCAGGGAAGGGAGGGGGAGGCCAAACAGGGAAGGTGCTGAGGCCTCTTAATTCTGTCCAAACCAGAACAGCTCTGCTCTTGCCTGTTTTATGTCCTGGGCTTCCGCCTAATATTGCATTTGAGAAAATACTTGACCAACACACCAGGTGATGCGTAGTCCTGTCTACCAATGAAGTTGATCCCGGGGGGGTCTCTCTCTCCATCCCCTGCCCTCTGGTCCCTCTCTACTGGCACCTCGCGGCCACCGGCCCTGCCCGCCACCCCCCAGGCGGGGCTGCGATGCGCACCTGGTGAAGCGGACCTCGCAGATGTTGCACATGTATGGCTTCTCCCCAGTGTGGGTCCTCATGTGCCGCGGCAGCTTCCCTGCTCCCATGATGACTTTGTGGCAGATGGGACACTGCTGAGAGGCCTTGGGCTTCAGCTTGCGCTCCTCCACCAGTGGCCAGGGTGGGAAGAGGCCTCCTAGGTGGGTGGCACTCAGGAAGTTGAGATAGGCACCGTAGTCATTCTCTGCCTTGATGGGGCCCAGAGGCCCCCCAGGCAGGTCAGGGAACATGTCCTTGAAGAAGTCGCTAGGGAAGGGCGGTGGTGGGGGTGGGGGCAGCTCCTCTTTTTCCTCCTCCTTGATCTTCCGGTTTTTGATGACCAGATCCAGTGGCCCACTGTCCATGGGCTGCTCGGGCAGTGGGGTGAAGGCACCGAAGTCCCCTGGCCAGAGATGTGGGAAGAAGTCCGGGGTGAATGGAGACAGGGAGGGTCTCCTGTCGGGGATATTGGCTTTGGGGTACAGGTTCTCCCTCAGCAGAGATTCAATGGAGAAGTCCCGGATCACACCCAGATGGCCAGGGCTGCCAGCCTGGAAGGGGTCAGGGAAGTCCCTGGGTGTGTCTGAATAGGCCTTCTCTGTGAGATGGTCCGTCTTGGAAGGGCTTTGGTGGCAGCTGATGTCCTGGGGGTCAGGCAAGTTTTCCTGGTCAGCAAAATCCTCTGTGTCATCATCGTCATCCTCCTCTTCCTCCTCCTCTTCCTCGTCCTCCTCCTCATCGTCATCATCGTCATCATCGTCATCCTCCTTGTCGTCCTCCTCTGCCCCATCCCCCCCAGGCTCCATGATCTCCAGGCACACGTTCACGATGCATGGGATCTCTAGCATCCTGGCAGCGTTGAGGACGTGCTGGACATTGCTGGCAGTGATGGTGAGCGTGGAGGTGTAGGCGAACTCCAGGATGGCGGCCAGAGCCTCAGGCTGCACGAAGTCGATCTCGTAGACATAGGGCTGGCTGGCTAGGGTGCCGGCCGTGAAGAGCTTCTTAAAGTACTTGCTGCAGGCGGCCAGGACGGAGCGGTGCGTCCGGTACTCCTGCTCCTGCACCACCAGGAGCACATCACAGAGCAGCCCATCGTGCCGCTGCTCGTTGAGGCTGCACAGGACCTCACTGCTGTGGTTGGGGAAGGGAATGCCGATGAGCTCGTCAATGCCATTGGCCATGTTCTCAGCCAGAGCCCTGCAGAGACACACAGAGAGGGAGACCGGGTTAGCCAGCATGACCCTGGGAGGCTGGGCCTCCACGGCCCCATACCACCCCTTGGAGTGACGGTTTCCCCGAACAATGAAGTCGCCCTCTTGCCTCTCAGCTGGGCCAGATCTTACCTGCAAGCCACAGCCTGAGTCACAAGCTGGGGCTTTTCACCAGGCCACTGAGCTCATTCCCCTGGACTAAGCCTCTTCAAGTTAGGCTTCTCACTGGGCAGCCCGGGCCAGCTACTTAGAAAGGCTACAGAGGCTTCCTGCAGGCTTGAGTTCACTGAATTCCACTTTGTGGATGAGCAGTTGCCAAATACCAGGATGAATAGCCACAGGAAACCCAACTCTTCCCTGCACTACAAGGACGGTACCCCCCTCTCCCCTCACCCACACAATGGCTGCGGGTCAAGGCCCGCTCACTGTGTCTGCTAAGAAAGTGCTGGGGCTTGTTTCACAGACCCTCTGGTTCTGTAACAAACTGACACATTGCACCAGCTGCTAGGAAGCTTAAAACTAATTTTGTGGCCACTTTTTAGGAAGTGGATAGGGCCTCTAAGGCATATGTTTTGCCTACTGACCTTACTTCTTGGTTCATCTTAGTTAATGAAGTTTCTTCTCATTTACAATTGTTGATTTTTAAAAAAATACTAACGTCCTATATATGCCTGTATGTGAGCCATTTCACCTATAAATAACGATATAAATCCAAGTGCACTGCTAGTTCATTTATCATGTCTGGATAAATTTTTCATGTCTGTTACCCTCATGAAAACATAAACCCCTGTGGGGAGAAGTCTCTTCTCAGACAACTTACATATGTGACATGTGGCCCGTGGCAGCCACCAGGAGAGGGTAAAGCAGAAAAGGCGACAACAGGCATCCCTTTCTTTTGGGAAGCACAATTCACTGCCCAAGTTTATCAACCTGGATAAACCTTGGTATATGTCAGAGCAGGCATCCTCAAACTATGGCCCACAGGCCACATGCAGCCTGCCTAGGACATTTATCTGGCCCGCTGGGTGTTTTTGCCATTGCTGCCTGTTCTGCTTAGCAGCTGACTTGTCCTGAGGCCCGCAACGGTCTGAGGGACAGTGAACTGGCCCCCTGTTTAAAAAGTTTGAGGACCCTTGCGTCAGAGTATGTAGGGCGCTATCTTTATGGCAAAGCTTGAACGTGGTCCAAGAAGAAATCCTAGCAAAGGCCTCACCCTTATGATACAATTAAAGTGGGGAGAAAACAAAAAGAAAAACAAAACCTGAAAGTCCTGCATCCCAGTGGGAAGTGGCCTAATGGTCCTTGTTTATCTTCTGGATGTGGGTAGTAGTGGGGGAGGGGAGGAGTGAGGCGTGCCAAGCCCACAAAATGAGCTGCAAGTGGGGCACCAGGGCATGTGGGGCGATGGTGATCCCCGCTGCCTTCTCCTCTGTCATGGAGCAGTCAGGGCCTTCCCTAAGCAAAACCACCTGGCCAGGTGCTCAGAAGGTTTCCCAGAGAGCTAAGGTCTTGTGTTTCCACCTTCTCATCTTTGAAAGGTCCAGAGACCCCACAGTCTGTGCATTCATTCCCTATATATTATTGTGTGTTCCCCTGTGCCGGGCACCATACTGGATTCTAGAAATGCACAGACAACAAACAAAGAAGGCTCCTGCTCTAACACTGCTTAAGGGGACATAACAACTGTGATAAAAATCTAGCAAGGTTCACCGAAGAGGGCACACAGATGGCAAATAAGCCATCTTATTTGAAAAGATGTTCAACACCATTATCCATTAGGGAAGTGCAAATTAAGACTATAATGAGATGTCATTACATATCTATTAGAGTAGCTAAAACAAAACACAAAAATAGTTGACAACACTAAATGCTGGTAAGGATGTGGAGAAACTGAATAACTCACGCATCATGGGGGAGAATGTAAAATGGTACAGCCAGTCTAAAACAAGATTTGGCAGTTTCTTAATAAACTAAATATGCAACTACCAGGTGACCCAGTCATTCTGTGTCTCAGAGAAATGAAGACTTATGTCCACACAAAAACCTGTACACAAATGGTCATAGCCACTTCATGCATAATAGTTAATCCCTGGTAGAGACCTGCTATCCTTGGTCAGCAGCGGGAGGATGGTTATGCACACTGTGTCCATCCATGCTATGGAATAGCATTCAGGGATCAAGGAATGAACTCTTTTTTTTTTTTTTGAGACAGAGCCTGAAGCTGTCCCCCTGGGTAGAGTGCCGTGACATCACAGCTCACAGCAACCTCCAACTCCTGGGCTCAAGTGAGTCTCCTGCCTCTGCCTCCCAAGTAGCTGGGACCATAGGTGCCCGCCACAATGCCCGGCTATTTTTTGGTTGCAGCTGTCGTTGTTTGGCAGCCTAGGCTGGATTCGAACCCGCCACCTTAGGTGTATGTGGCTGGTGCCTTAGCCACTTGAGCCACAGGCACTGAGCCAGGAATAAACTCTTGACACAAACACCAAGCGAGATGAATTTCTTGGGAATTACATTGAGTGAAAAAGCCAATCTCAGTGGGTTATACACTATATAACATTTATAGTTAACACTATATGCCATTAATACAACATTCTTCATAACAAAGTTATAGAAATGGAGACCAGATGAGTGGTTGCCAGGGATTAAAGAGGGGTTCAAGGTGAAAGGGAAGTGGGTGTAGCTATAAAAGGGAAACAGGAAGGGACCCTGTGGTAATGAGAACATTCTGGATCCTGAGTATATCAATGTTGATACACTACGGTCTTGCAAGATGTTACCACTGAAGGAAACTGAGTAAGGATACATGGGATGTAAAAACTATATCATTTTTTATAAATGTGTATGAATTAATAATTATCTCAAAACATTTAATTGAAAAAAAGCAGATTGCAAGAAACAACCTCAATCAACCCATCATTCTCTCACCATCTCTATCACCTGTCCATCTCCCATAGGGTATAATGCACAGGGAAGGGGAGAGACCCTTTACCCAGGGTGGTCAAGGGAGGCTTCTATGAGGAGGCATAGTTTGAGCTGAGACCTAGAAGATAAAGATCCAGCCATGGGAAGATGTGGGGAACAGTGTTCTGGACTGTGGGAACAGCAACACAAAGTGGGCAGCCCCACCATGGTGCCCTTGCTCTGAGGGGCCAGCTTCTTTCTGAGTGGCCCCATTTATTTAACGTGGTGGTTTTCTGCTGACAAAGCATTCCACTTCTGCATTTCGCTGGGGGCTGAGATGGACTGTGTTTACCCAGATCCCCCTAAGGGCCTGTGTAGAGATAGGTGATGGATGCCCCTCTTTCTCTCTGACTAGGGAGAGTTCCCCCAGGCTGAGGCTTCAATGGTGCAGAGAGAGCTCCAAGGCTGCTTCCCACTGTCCAAGGGAGAGAAGCTCCCAGTGGCTCCCCTCTTTCCCTGCAGCAATGAGAGTCAGAGGAAATGCAAGGGCTTAGGAAACCAGGGCCACCTGTGTGGCTGCACACCAGGGCTGCCATGCCCCAGGAGGGCTGACTGTGGGCTGCTGGGCTGGGGCAGCAGGCAGCTCCTCTGAGCCCTGGATCAGAGGGGAGACCTTGAGTCTGAGCTCCATTTAGTTTGGAGTCAGGTGCAGTGTGAGCCTCTGCACAGTGAGCAAGGGGACCCGAGGACACCTGTCCCTGCCTCTGTGGCCCCGAGCTCCCTGCCTCAGACACTGAGGACCCATGGGAGGCTAGGGAAGGGCCACCCTCACCAGCACCTTCTCTCTTCGGGCCCTAAGCAATGAGTTTCCCCAGAAGGAGTCAGAACCACCACCTGCCCTCAGGCCTCCTCATTCTTCACAAGAACCAGCTTTAGCTGCTCTTGTTTTCATCACTCCCACTTCACGGATGAGGAAAATGAAGCACAAAGAGATGACAGCACAGATGGGGAGTGAGGGCCCAGAGCCTTGAGCCCTGCCCACAACCAACTCCAGCTCCTGCATCTGGCCACAAAGGTAACCAAGAATGGCCAGGAGCCTGCTACTGGCCAGTGAGTAACAAGAGTGGGCGATCCTGCCCTCCAGGGAAGGCCAAGCAGGCCAGGGCAGACAGGGCCAGCATCAGTGGCAGAAGCATGGAGGCCTCCCAGCTCAGGCTACTGCCTTCATCACATCCTCTTAAGCCCCTGGAAGGACACTTGCTTGCTGCCCAGGCAGCCTCCCTGCTCTGTGGAAGTGGCCCCCTTAGTGGTGGTCTTGTCAAAGCTCTGGCAGGGGTGTAAGAGGAGGGGAGAGGAGATAACAGAGCTGGGGCTCAATCAGCCTTTCCAATTCTACTTTCTGAACACAGCTGTGAGTAGGTGTTCACCTGAATGGGGTGAGTGGGCACAACACCCTTCTCCAGTGTGTCCCAGATGTACCCCTGCACCCCTCTCCAATCCCCAGACATACATCCTGCTCTTAGCCTCCATGCTTTTGCTCACACTGAGCTCCTGGCTGGAGAAGTTTCTAGGACATCCACATCTCATCCACTTTTCCAGGTCCCACTCAGACTACTCTTTCCCTATCCCTCTGTTTAGATGCTGAATTTCTCCTTCTTTTGGTCTCTTCAACACTTCATGAGCCTTGTCATTTATTTCACTATAATTAAATTTATGTGTGTCTTGGTGTCTCCGCTAGACTGTAAACTGCTTGAGGGCAGATACTATCATGGAATGCTTAGCACAGGCCTGGCACAAAGTTGGTGTAGGTCTATGGCAAGTGCTGTCCTTAGCAGCACTGAAATAATGGTCTCACAGGTTGTTCACTACAATGGCACTACATTTAAGGGGGCCGTGGTGGCAGATTCAAAGATGGCCCTCAGTGATCCTTGCCTAGTGATGACAAGATTTCATGGCTTTGAGTGGTCCCTTCCCACATAAATAGGGCTGACCTTTCACGGAAAAATCTGTGGAAGTAAAGATATGCAACACTGCTATTTCTGCCTTTCTATCTCTTGGGTCATTCACTCTTGGTGAAACAAGCTG